TTTGAGATCAGCAGACACGAAAGATCCAAGATATTTGAAGTGTTGTGACCTTTCAACTTTTAAGTTATTGATTAGGATATTGGGGACAGATGATCCAGTAGTCGTTGATAGCACACGGTTATTGGAAAACAAAACTTCAATGCATTTATTGGGGTTTAAAGAAAGGTTAACACCATCGGACCATTCAGAAATGGAACTTATGGCTGATTGAAAGATTGTTGTTGTGAGATGCACCACCAACTACCATATCATCGGCATATTTAAAAGTGAAAATATTTGGGGTGACCGGCAAGTTTTGGATATAAAAGGAGAACAGAAATGGGGATGAAATTGAACCCTGCGTTACATTCTGTCTTACGGTAACAGTAGATAATAATCAACCTAAACCAATATACTCAGTGATTCCCGCTCCCGTGCTGGTAGAGACTGTCACGCGAAGTATCGGTTTTGCTCCACGGGGTGTGCTTGCGTTTGAGCAAACGGCCAGAGTATCAACATTTACTAGATCAGCTTAGGTCGATGATAACATGTAAGTACTAAGTCCGCAATGCAAATATTTTATTAGTGCACCTATTAGCCAAAACTAACTCACTATCCTTCAAATTTATTTTACGTGTTCAGATCCAAAATAGACTTATTCCGTTACGATATTATTCCGACTTTTGCAACGTGAAAAGTTTGAGCCTTGACATGGAATTGTACATAGCCAATGTGACGATGGAGTTATTCACAGAGGACTCAACACGTATGAAATTCAACCGTCAATGTGCCACATTTTACGCGGCTTTGGATCAAGCATTGTGGCAGTTACTCGATCGTCGAAACAGTTACATTCGAATTGTATCACCTCTCGGTAAGTCGATCAGTCAGCCACGATTGATTTGGCACTGACCATGTCGACGATCCAAGGGAGAGTCACTGCGTTGTGGATTTGAACACAGGGAACAATAGGGCGATGTTGCGCATCTGTTTTTCCAAGCTGAATTCCACCATATCGTCCCACCAGGTGCACACTATAAATAGTGAATCAGTTCTGGACTAATTATATAAAATATTTAATGCCAGAGAATGGAAACATTACTTATATACTATTAATTACTATTATTTGTGTAGGGACCGAACAATAAACTGCGTTTGTGGTTGACATAATGCATAATTTCGTGTTTGGAAGGCAAATGTTCGGCCACAGTTGACTGAGCTGTGAAGAAACATTCGCTGAACATTGTGTGTCATGTATGAAACGAATCACGAACCGGCTTGTGTGACCCATTTGGCACAGCATAGCTAGCAGTAATGGGCAAACACTGCGCGGAATCGAAACGCGGTTCCTGAGCGCATGCAAAAGCACAACCTGAAGCCGACCACATAGATCAGATTTACCAAGCGTTTCTTCTTTAATATCACCATCATATACGAAATGTTCATTGCAAAAGATGGTCGATAATTTCTCATTTCTCCGGTTCCTTTACGTGCAGATACCATCCCAGTTTATGGTAAGTACAACCGTTTTCAATTTTTTTCAGAGAACTAGTGAGGAAGACATATATGCTCTAGTATAATTTATATTGTGGCTAACAATGTTCTGCTTGAATTTGTTTGTCAATCTACTCAAAACGGAAACTCAATATCATCGGACACTGGATACCAGTACCCACTGCAGAATACATAGGTGAGTTGATTTGGTACACAATACATGTGCACCGTGTTGTGTGTGTGTGTTAGAGCTTGTATTCTGAACACAGGTGAAGGACGGGATCAATTTCACTTCCTCTGAATGTGTATCACATTTGACTCAACTTGTTTGTAGCTTTCAAAGTTACCGGGATTTTGAATCAGAACGGAGCTCCCGTGCGCCCGACTGCGTGGAAAGAAAAGAACACATGTACCGTTGAAACAAGCTTGCTTAACACGGTAAGTGTGTGATGACCAGTTCTGCTTACCAAGTCGTTAATATCAAATTAGTGCTGTCGATCAATCAGACTTATCCAACCGGGTACGGTATTGTGCAATCGAACTCATATCTGTCCCCCTTATCCATCTCTTTCTCTCTCTCTCTGTGTGTGTACAGAAGCTAGAAGGCGATTTGCTCAGTGTGATGTACAACTATGCACCGAAATCTGTGACGGGATTGCAAATTACACCAGGCGAATCGGCTGTGAATGTTGAATTCAAACTTGTCTATCCGACCACATTTTTCGTTTCGAGTAAAATTGATCCCACATGCAATTTTATGGACAATTTGGAATGGGGATTCAAAAATCTCGCCTCGACTAACGGATATTACTTGGACCCGGAGACTGTCAAGTTTTCATGTGAGCTGTTTGATGTGATTCCGTTCCGATTAGACGAGATTACCATAACCAAAAAGTTCAAATTATTTTGGGTATTATTTAATAACTATTGAATATCACGAAGAATTGGAAATCACGCTGATAATTCCCCCGGGTTAACAGTTTTCTTTTTTTCATCACCTTCTGCGTTTCAGTGCTTGAAACAGTTCCAGGTAAGCCAAACGATTTTGTGCATCGAATGTGAATTCACAAAACAATTTCATGTCCTCACTGATAAAACTTGATTAAAAAAATCAATTTTTCCTCTTTATTTCAAATCGAATTCGAAATTTACAATCATATTTGAAATTCACATACTTTAACTGAGTTCTATGAGATTTCATTTGTCATTACCCATTGCTCTGCTAAAGTCAAATTTCTCCGAATGGGATCAAAGAGTGTATTTAAGCAAACAATAGATTTATAGCACCTTTCGTTTAGTAATGTGATAATACAGGTGTTATTCAACGGATAAAAGATAAAACCTGACAAGGACAATAAAAAAGCACCACTGTGAACAGAGCTCTTATTACTAATAATCGTTCTCTTGGACAAGTTAACTGGTCAAAATTCATTGTTCGGTTCTGAAGTACTCAGTCAATTTAGGGCTAACGAATAACGTCCTCGAATCCCAAATCCCAAAAGGGAATGAAAAATTAAAGCCAAGTCCTTATCTCTGAGTTTTTCCAAAATTCATATAACAACTAAATAATGTCATCTATTGGTCAAGGACGATACACATCGATTGGAACAATCTTGTTCTCAAGCTACGAGTGAATTTGTCGAATATTATTTGGTAATATCCCCAAGAAGTTGATTCTAATCTGACTATTGCTTTCAATGCTTCAATTTGCAATGCAATCCAATTCAATTAGCTGTCCCCAAAGCGGAAATGGGTACGTTCATCTATTGTGTTATACTGCGTGATGATATACTACTTTTTGTTAGTCCTTAGTAGTTAGTATCAATGCTTGTCACTCACATTTATTCTTGGGGATGTTTTTAGGAATACCCGAAACGAAAGGGCTCAAGACTTTCCATAAGATAACCAAACAATGAATGTATACTAAATTTTAAATTGCTTTTTTTTCTGCTGTTTTCTTCATAAATCCGCCTCCTATTTAGATTACATCTTCCAAACGCAGGTGAAGTATGAAGGAAGTATGTCGTCCGCCAAATGTCTAGGAAGTCCGGAACCGTGCACGGTATTCAGAGGCAAATTATGTGCATTGGTAAGCACTCACATCTAATGAAATTTATTCACTCTGAGGGAGAAAAATTGGAAAATGCCTTTTTTCGGCCACATCTGCAGAACTGGGGTTGCTGGATTGGAAGTCCAGAGTGATAACC